ATCTACTTCGTAAGATGTATGCATGGTTTTGAATTTAGAAAGATCTGCTGAAACTACAGTTAAAAAACAAACACAAAGCTAGTCTGAGTTAACTCATCACACCAATTTTGAAAGAGAGAATATACGGTCCTAGCAGGGAACAAAGTGGCTTCAATGATCACTTCCTGTAGACACTGCTAGCTTCCTCTTTCCTTAGCCTTCATACGGAGCCCTGTCCCAAACAGAAGTTGACACTAGACTCCCTGACTGTAAGAAAATTTCCTAAGTAAGTTAATCTAAGTAATTAAGTAATAACTTGATTATAGGACCACAATGGAGACTACTTCTGGCCTCTGGCTCTTGGAAATGTATTATGCCTAGCTGACCTTTTAAGTCTACTAGGTCAACTGTGCTATCTGGTTACTGACTTGGTTCCTAACCTGTCTTCATTTCCATTTTCTACTTCCCAAAGAAGTAATCTGTTTTCTTTCATCCACTCTGACCAGTCATTTCCCCATGTTCTTTGTGCTTTATGATGGAGCTGATACTCTCTTTCATCTCACTGTAGAGACAAAAACAACAACAAACAGGGCTTGCCTGATCAAGCCAAGTCTGTTGACATGGTGTCTCTGAGATTGTGTTTTCCTCTCTAGCAGATTGAAAGCTGATATGCACCCAGAGGGAGGTCTGTTCACTTTTTAAAAAACTTCCTATAGTCATTGCCCTCAAGAGCAAAACATATTAAAAATGCTTCATACTCCGTTTCCCAGTTAAAGTAACACAGATCATAGATATGAGTTTACTCAATTTATCCAAGTAGTTTAATATTGCATAGCACAAACATAAAAGTAATCTTCTGAAAAGAATTAAAACATTTCAAAGGATGCTATTCTTAGAATCAAGAAGCCATAGAACATGAAAATATGACCAAAAAAGTTGCTGATATGCTGTTTAAATCTCTAAAGAAAAATTTCATTCACCACATGTATCACACATTTGTTTCATCTGCTTAAGAACACATTTCAAAAAGGGTTAAATAACTCACTAATTAGAAATTACTCAAATAATAGCTTGGCTTTTGTTGCAAAAACTACATTCACAATGTGACTGCTATGTAGTTCAGTAGAAAAAGAACTAAGTGCCACATTCATGGCCACCTCTGCTCAGGGAATTCCTCAGCCGGGAGGAGCCTAAGCATGGCTTGAACCCAGGTTCAGCCAAACCAGGTCTGGCTTCTGTGTGCCTCAGATCTTGTTTTCCTCACTAGATGATTGAGAGTTAATTTGTATCCAGAGGGAGTTCTGTCTATTGTAGAACCAAAACAGATCACGACTACTCCAAGTAATGTAGGACTAGTGGTAGGAGTGTAGAATAATTTGAAATGGCTAAGCAAAGGTGAGGAAAATAATACTAAGGCACAAAAGTGCCGTGACTTTGAGTCCACTTGGGTTCACTGGAAAATTCTGAAAAACATATTTTTTTCCTACTAATGACTTACATGGCTGCACTGTCCAAATACAGAAATTAATACCTGATGATCACTTTAATAGATTTCCCTGGATCTACCAAAAAGAAAAAAATGCCAGAGCTCAATTTTTCCCAAGATTAGAAGATAATTTAGTCTTTGTTTTTGGTGTGTGTGAATAATGGCCTAATTTTTTAAAGAGTTTTAAAAACACATCTTAGCATGCATTTTAGTGCAGAGGTTTATTTACTCTTTTAAATAATAATTGTTCTTAAAACTTTGGCAACAAAGCTGTGATAAGCACTTTCCTTTAATGTCTGAAAAGGTAAGACTGCTGGGAGAGAACCAGCTAGTTAAATACATCATGATCTTATCCCTTTAAATTGTTATTTGGTAAGTTTTTGTAATTGCAATGATGTTAATACTTTCATAAGATACTTTACAACTAATATCTACTGTACTTTATTGTCAAGAAGCAATATGAATATAATCTAGGGTTATTAACTCAATAATAAAATTTTAATATAGGTTGGACTATCTAGGAAACTAATTCTTCCACATTAAAAACATGCTTTAGGACTCAGTTTACAGTAAAGACTTTCATAGGCATATTTATCATTCAAGATACAGCAACTATTTTTACCAGCAATTTTCTTTTGGAAATATCAAATGTATGGAAATACTTATACTACATCTTAAAATATTCTCAGATTAAAATACCAACTCCGAGTTCTAAAATAAAATACTTTTTTTCAATAACACTATCTGTCCGAGGCTGAGACGTTTATGTTTGTACACAAAGGATACATGATATTGCTTATTCCCCCAGATTCCCCAAAAGCCTCAACAACAAAACTTTTATTTATTAGTAATAAAAGAGCTAGATCTGAAAGACGTGCCATTGTTAACCTAAGAAAACTACTAAATGTAATAGCTGGGGGAAAAAAAGTCAAAGGACCAAAGAAGGAAACCATTTAAAAAAGCAACGCTAGTAGCAAAACTGAAATGGAGTTGTAAAACAGGGTGTGGAGAGAAGACAACAGGTGGAGGAATCCAACAGAGATGGAAACACTGATTCTGGAATCCAGGAACCCAAGGAAGAGTCTAGGAGATTTGTTTCCAAATAGCAAGATTCGTACTTTGCAAAATCTAGTCAAAACCTAAAAAAAAAAAATCTAAATTTCTATTTGTATTTTAAACCAGATACTTAAAAAAAAATCCCCAAACAAAAAACAAACAAATCTATATTTAAGAATTACATATTTAAAAAGACAAGTACAGACATTTAGACCAGCAGAGAAGGCTGGTCTCGAGACTCTTACTTTCTTTTGTGCTGATATCTCACCTGGCACCTTTTACAGAGTCCAATCTAACTAGCCCCTGTAACAGACACCACAGCATAGAAGCTGTATCAAGCAATAGGCAGCTCAGGAATCCCTGGAAGGCTTAGCTGACAACACCTTTCTTGTGCTGGAGGCAAAGCAACATTTGCTTAGTTAATAAATTTCCTGGATTTTGCTGAGCTTTAGTCAAGACAGTTGTTACATAAAATTCATATCACAGTTGATCCATACAGAGGACATGTATTAATAATGGCTAACATTTATAGAGTTCTTCCTATGTGCCACTACTATTTCAAATGCCATATGTGTATTATTTCATTTCATCCGTTACAATAATACAGTAAAGGAAGTCCTATTCTTTTCCTCATTTTACATCTGAGGAAACAGAGCAGTGAAGTAATTTTCAGCTAGACTCCAAACTGGAGGTTTTCTCCCATCAGAGTCCTGTTCTTTCCCACTACAGAGGAAGGAAAGGGAAAAAGGTTTCTGGAAATTTATAATAAGCATGCTAAAATGCCACTGTGGTGTATAAGATGGCAGTGCTTCTAAAGCTCAAAGCGAAACATTTCATGGCTTAAAGTACACACACACACACACACAGACATAAAAAACGGCTTGGGGCAATCCCCTCAAATCTCCTCTCACTGTGGGAGCTTTTCTGTCCTCTTAATAAATCCTGCTTTCTCACTAAAAAAAATAAGAGAAAAGAAAATGGCTTGTACCTACCTTAACTATATAAATATATAAAAACTGTTGTGACGAAAAATTATGCATATTTCAAATGTCTTCAAATGCCCATATAATTTCTTTTTTTTTTTTTTTTTTTTTTTGTTT